GTTGACACATAATGGTGAAATTCAATTCAATTTAAGTTCATTTGTATAGCGCTTTTCACAATGAAAAATTGTTGCAAAGCAGCTTTACAGAAAATTAAAGTTTCTACATTATCTTTACTAATAGCTTATCAGTGGTGACTATCTCAGTTATTATATTTTTCATTATGAAAAATCATATATATATATGATTTATATATATATATATATATATATATATATATATATATATAATTTCATTGTTATTATATTTTTTATAATATAATATAACATAATATAATAATATAGTTAAGTTTTTAATATACAAGTTGTTTTTAATATAAGTTGCTTCATTTTTACACAAATATATGTGTTATGCTAAATGATGATGACATTTTTTCACCCATATTTTGACATTTTATGTTCGCAAAAGTTATTTGAAACATTAAAGTAGACACTTTACTTGTATATTATGCTTTTTATGTATATAAAATCACTTTTGTCAATTTAATTTGCTCTGGAAATATATATAATATAATATAATATAATATCTGTTCACTTATCATACATCACATATATCACAGTTGTTATTTAGTTCATGTGCAGTATATGTACCTTAACGCACTCAATGTAGGAGGGGTTTAATGATTCTCCTCCGAGCCGTACTGGCACTAGAATGATGACTGATTTCCAGCCTGTGCCACCAGACTCGGACAGCTCACACAACCTCATGATATCTCCTTTATACACTGCAGCACACACAGAAGCAGAAGAATGAGCTAAACATCACTTAGAAACAGGAAAAACCTTCAGTTTCACTAACTGATTTTTAAAAATGACCGCAGGATGCACAAACCACAAGACTGAACATGAAAACACACCCGTGCAGTCCTGTGCCACGTATACAGCAAGGTTGTGAAACTCAGTGGTTCTAGCCACTGCTTTTCTGGTAGAAGAAAAGACATTAAATGACAAAAAGTTCAGTTCACACTGTTCAGTTATTAAAACGAAGCTTTTACATCTAAATACAATAACATTCATTTGCTCTCCTCTAACCTCAGCATATGTGCCACTACGGACGGGCCGTACCAGTCCCCTGCCCTCTTCCCAGACTCCTTTCCCAGCTCCACCAGCTGGTGAACACCAAAAGGAGCTGAGGGATGGTCCCCAAACCAAGACACCACCTTTCGGTGCAAAGCCTCCACCTGAGGCTCATGGCTGGCTGCAGGACGTCCCCCCGGGGTCCGCCTGTGACCCTCACTGCTGCCAGAGCTCGGGTCTCTCTGGGAAACGGGGCTGGTCCAGGAAGAACTGAAAGACGGAAGGGACATGCCAGCCGGACGGGAGGGCGAGCGAGGCTTCAGCACCTCAAAATCAACGTCTGTCAGTGGATAACAATCCGCCCACCTCCAGTCTGAGATACAGAAAGCAGCAGACAGTTGAGTCTAT